TTATTAGTTCTGTCGACGTCGTTATGTTGTTCTATCTGATGTCGTTTTAGGTGTTCTTTTCTAGTAAATGTTTTCTGGCATGTATTACAGTCCCAGTGCAGTACTGTTGACGAAAAATAGTGTTATGAACAAAGCAAATTGGTAGAGAAATTATGATATCCTCTACGAAAAAAAAAAACACTAAATAATCAAATAAAAATACCAGTACACTGCCTACTTAAAAAGAGCAAGAATAAACAAAGGTTGATTACACTTAAATATTACTGACAAAGAATTATATCTACCAAAATAACTTGTACTAACAGTCAGTTATCTAAAAATATGAATTCACGGAAAATTTCTGTTTTAACTGAACTGATTACTCTGAAAATGGTATAGGTGTAGAATTTTCAAATGTTATTACGCTAATTTCTAATCTTATTCGTCTACTTTAGATGTCATTTTCACTAGGAAGCTTAGAAACTACTATGGTATTTGGATCCTAGATGGAAAAATTGAATAATGCAATTTATTGTACAATTCTCAAATTTTCAGTAAGGATATGCAATTAAATTTTCTAAATGATTTAAACACTTGAAGAAAAAATTCATGGATTTGAGAGATTAAATCATACCATTAAAAGGTTGATTTGATTTAAAAATGTTTTTTTAAAAAGACAGGTAGGTTTTATTCATAGGTGTATGTAGTTAGCACGACCATGACTTCCTGTGGTTGTGGTTCATCGCCTACTTTAGAAACATTTTTTTACTACCATTTAATATACAGGTGTCCAGATATTTGACGTCAACGTCAATGCTTGACAGGTGATAGCTCTTGCAAATTGATGTAGGAACATAAACATGATCCAACAAAATTAAATAAATGTAGTTTTTTAAAATTTGAGGCTGTTAATAGATAAGATTGCGTACAAATCTTGAAACACTTTTTCAACGTTTACGATTTATTGCAAAAATCCTAATTTTTTTGTTCCAGAATTAACATTTTTAATCAATCTGAAAGAGTTATCACCTATCGATCGTAATAATTCTATAAAGTTACTTAACTCAACAGCAAACTTAAAATATATACTGTAATTTTATCAGTAATAAGTATGAGAAAAGTTTTAATGAGCCCTTTTTGTCTAGCAATTTAATAAGAAGAAATGTTGTTTCAATCAAAGAATAAAGTTCTCACTCAAAATTTTGATCAAATAAAAATAGTTGACTATTTATCAAGGTCTCGTTATATTAACTATGATTAAACTAGTTCTTCGTTTTTTTTTGTTTTTTTTTGTTTTGGTTTTATTTTGTTTTTTTTTTATAAAATTCTGTTGAACTGACAACAATAAACATTAACAATTTTGATTAAACTAATATGTACCTCAAATCTATTTAACACTCAAATTTCAAAATTGTTAATTTTACTGTACAAAATTAAAATCGGTACTATTTATAATTGAAACTAATTTGTTTTTGAAGAGATTGAGTGGTGTGTACACACTGGGTAATAAGAAATGAATCGAGAGTATTTAAAGTGTGTAAATTGAGTTTTATTAATAAAACTCTGTAACAATTTGTCTAAGCGCTTTCGGCCTATTAGGCCATCATCAGAGACTCTACAAAGAGAAAAAACGGAGCTGTAAGAACATAATCAACTCGTAACAAAACTAATCAATGAATAAAAAACGTGAACACTTACTCGTCAAAAACTATAGAAGAGACATGAAAAATTCACTAAGTTAAAAAGGACAGCAACAGACCTGTACCAAGTCACCAACATAGCTTGTAGCTAGGATAATTGAAAATAAAAGAACCACACCGAACATGTGGTTGAATTTTAACAAATGAACATGAGGCGTCTATAAGCCAAGAGGTATAAGTGCATTTTATTTAGTTTTGATAAAATCGGGTTTGAAGTTTAACCACAGCTTATACAATACAGCTCCACAACTCCGTGTCGGCGTCTTTGATCTGGCGGTCGAGAACCAAGCAAGACGGAATGGTGCTATCTCTGTTAGATTCAAGGGAAAAGTCGGGCCCGGATTAAACAATTTTTTTATTATTGAAAAAATTGAAAACCTTGGCGTAATAAGGTTGGTCACATGCCATATTAAGTAAGTTTTGGGAAATTACATTTTTAATTTGTTTTAAATCTTTCAAATATAATTAAAAAAATTATTTAAATATAAATATTACGAAAAATAGCACATCTTTCGGATTAAAGGTAAAATAATTTATATATGGCTAGTAAAATCCTCGTTAACAAATGTTTTGAGCTAAAACAGTCACTTCACGACAAATTGTGGCTTGGATCCATTTTACACCAAGGGCTTCAATTGTTAAAGAATTGTGTCACGCTCGTGGATGCAAATCAAGTGGTACCCCCGTGTCTCTGGCAAGTGTTACTCTTCGCGCAAAGGGTTTATACCTAGATAAACGAATGCTTCGACTGAGGTCTGGGAACTCTATGGTATTTTGGAATTATAAAGAATGTGTGCTTTTGTTTTAACAATATTGGTTATATTTAGATGTATTCTTATTATTTGAAATACAGATTTGTAGAAGTTATACTTTGACAGTTTTTATTAATATAATATATTCAATTTCTATCTGACCATACCGAAGTATGAAATTTTAAAACTTTATAGTAATGTGAAATTTGAATTACAATATTACAAGATATAAATAATTAGTACTTATTTTAGGTAGGTACTAAATTTGTACTTGGAGAAAGTAATATCGATTTTTACAAGAAAACTTAAAAAGTAAATTAATTTAATTCCTATTTCTGATGTAAAACTTAAACCAAGAAAACAAATAAATTGTAGTTTGTTCAACAAGGGTGGATATGATAGCCATATCACACAAAGACGAAGTTTGAGCACGACGTCGTAGGCGGAGAACTCAATCGTCTGATTGTAATATGAACAATCTACTCGATATGGTCAGTATATTTTTTCTACGACCCACTAACGAAAATCTACAAATTTAAAAAATTATTTTAGGTTATTTAGACAAAATAACTAATTTTAAAATAATTTACGAAGTTGACTAATTTATAAAATAAAATAAACATGAAAAATTAATTAGTCCTCGGCCTAGATTCGATCCCGGACTTTTCGCGTGGAAGGCAGATGCTCTGTCTTCATCTTCACCGAAACTTTCAGGACTTTAGTTTTAATACTCGTAATTAAATTAGTATCATGTAGTTTAATTAAAATTTATTTTTTTTTAAATGTGGACACAATAGAAACAAAAATGCTATTATTTATCGAGTCTGCACAAAAATTTTAATGTATATTTAATATCAATAACTAAAATATATATTGACAATTAGTTTAACAGAATTGTCACTTATTTAAAAAATTTTAAATAATAGGAGTTGGGTGACCAAAATATGAACTGTGATTTGTAGATTTAATTTTGTTAAAGTGTTCTTACTACCTAAAATGGATATGAAATATATTCGTAGTTGAACACAATAACATACTTTTTCGTTTTGTAGTATGTGCGTAGATTGGCTAATATCCATGCACAGATTACAAAACGAAAAAGTATGCTATTGCCTTCAATTGAACGAATATATTTCATATCCATTCTAGGTAGTGAGAACACTGCAAAAAAAATAAATTCGCCAATCACCGTTCATATTTTGATCAACCGACTGCTATTATTTTTAAAATTTTAAATAAATGACAATTCTGTCAAACTAATTGTCAGTATATTTTTTAGTTATTGAGATTAAACATACAATAAAATAAGTTATTCTTTTGGAAAACGTTAGCATGGATGACTAAAGGGTATTGGGTTAATTAATTCTAAAAGTGTGGTACAAATGTTATTTTTTGTAGCCAATTCTTCAAAATTATTTTGAAATATCTTTTCAATATTGAATATTAGTTCTACAAATTCATCATTTGACAGTTGCAGATTTCCAAATGTATCTGAATTGGCGTTATCATATGCCTTTAAAAAGCAATAAAAAGAAAAATCATCTATTTCAACGTGATCTTTGTTATATTTAAGACAGGTATCGCAGGAGTGGATCCGCAAGGCTTTTATTAAAAGGTAACCACACACATACCTGATAAAAATTTTCTGTAGCAATTCGTCTTTACAATAATTTAGGGTGTTAATAATTTCATCATAAAATAAAATACAAGGTGTTCCATTTAAAAAACATACATTTTAATTTGCCAGGCAAAAACGTGACACCCTGTATATCCAAAGATATTTTTAAAATATGTAGGTATTTTTCAAATCCAAACTTTTATTTAAAACTTTCTTGCGTGTCTACAACAAAATAATGAACAATAACGCACTAATGGGACACCCTGTATAAATTATATTTTTAACAATGAAAATTTCTTATAATGTGGTACTTATCGGTTTGGGTCCTTGGGAAAACTAAAGAATGTTCTCTTGCAGGTATAACCCTTATTAAAACAGCTTTTGACTGCACAAACAGAATGATGTCTTTTTTTTTCATTCATTCTACTCACAGCTAAAGAGTCACCAAAATAGTAACAGTACCTTTAACTCAAACAAAATCTACGAAATTATAGGCTCCACGAAATCATACAATCAACGAAATTATACGCACGACTCAACACCTTACCTAAGTACACTTCTGAACGCCAAAACCGTCTTTTCCCTTCGAAGGCGGAGCTTAAGCGATGCGCGACGAAATCGACGCAAACCGTTGCCGCCAAGAGAGTGTTTTAACTGTATTGTTAAGCTGTGGTTTAACATCTTTTCCAAATTCGACTGGTTGTTATTTTAAGTATTTGGTTATTTCGTGATCTTTCTAAGTTGAACAACTCGTCATTTTAAAAGAACTATCATTTTAAAAATTATTTTAGGTTTTAAAATGGTACTTGTACCTTACAAAGAAGTAATTCAAATTAACTTGTACCTCTAATCTTGTAAGTAAAAATTATAATAACTATTATCAATATAAACGATTTTTTTGAAAAAATACAAAATCAATCTAGTGGGAGTAAAAAATACAAAGATTAGGTATTAAATAAAGTCAAAAATTGTATCTGGTTCATCGAGATTTTCCTCAACGTCATTAGGAGTGTCTTGAACTGTATTTTGTTGTCCATTTCGATCTTGGTGGGGCAAATTTAGGTAGAAATCATGATGAATGGGTGGAACAAATTGCAGTAGTTCCATAAGATTTGCATACTTTGCATGTTTTAATAATGGCTTTTTAGTTTCACAAGATAGATTGTTTAAAACTGGAGGCTTTCCTCGACGATTGGATTTCATGCTGTAAGTTTCAAACGCAGTGTCATTTCCTACGGTGTTTTTAAAAAACAATGTGTGCGGATGATCTTTTTCAAATTGCAGCCACTGCATAGCACGTATTCCTGGGACATTATCTTTATAGAATTGCTGAAGTGTATCCAAGTTTAGAAAATCCTGGTCCGTCATCCTAATAACCATAAATCTTGAACTGGTCTTAGCAATCATTTCTACCCAATGTTCTTGTACAAAAAAATCTCTATCACTTTTTTTTTTCTTTATCTCAATGAGACCAATATCCAATGGCTACCAACTAGCAAACAAAATATTTTAAGGATTTAAGTGAAATACCCACAGATGTCGTCACTGGTTGCAAATGAAACTTATACCCCTTGGCGACTATATGAAATGCCTATTTACAGTCTATTACTGTACTTATCTCGAAATGTTCCAAAAGTGCATTTGTACCCCTTGGCTTATAGACGCCTCATATATTATTTGGAGCAAATAGATAGTAATCTAAAAGCTGTTTATTAAACATACTATAATAATTTATTGTTTATTTTATAGTAATCTAATTCCTTTAATAGTCCAAAAAAAGTAAAAATGAAAAAAACGTATTACTCTGCAACTACTAAAGTTTGTGCAGCAGACGGAATGTGCCGGACATGCGCAAAACTGCATAGAAGATTAGCTATCAGTTCGAGATTTGACAGTAGCCTATTTTTTATTTTAATTTCGGAGTATTAAACTATTAAATGGAATTTGTTCTGCTTAATTTAGCTAATTTAGAACACTTTAGACTTAAAAAAATGATGTTTAATTGACAGAAGTTTTAAGTAAATTTTATGTGTGTTAAAGCGAGTTAATACAAATATATTATAAAATAAATATTACCGATTTTAATTTTGTGCAGTAAAATAAAAATCTTTTTGAAATTTGGGTATTAACATAAATTTTAGTTTAATAAAAATTATTAGATGTTTAGAACTGTCAGTTCAAAGTTAAAAAAAAATCCATTTAACAAAAAGAAGAAAGGGTATAATCAGTATAAAACTCAATAATTGGTTAGGATCCCTAGCTCTTATTGACTGAAATCACAAAAATTTTCTATTTTGACAGATAAAAAAAATATTCGCTGTAAAAAACGAAGTAATTTTTTATCGATGTCAAATGACAAATTAATTTTGGCTTATGGCATATTTACAGGAAAATTTTGTTCAAGTAAATGGAGCGACGTTATTTTCCTAATTATTATATTTTCCATGTATAGGAACAGCAAAAATATTGTACAGGGTGGCAATTTAAAACTTACAATGGCTATATCTTAAGAACTGAAAAATATATCATAATGAAAACAATTTATTTTGTTCCTGGACTAGAAATATTCAAGAATATATTTTCTTTTTAAATATGTTTTAAATTATAATTATGTACTATTATACCAAGCAAAAATAAATTTTTAACTTTATTTATACTAAGACTTATAAACCGTGTAAAAACATGCGCTTTTGAGTTGGAATAAGGCAAAATTAAAAATATAATATATGAGATTGCTAGAAAATGATTATGTAAAGAATATTTTTTTTAGACAGAAAATTATCTTTTTAAGGTCTTATACAGGGTGTCCCATTATTGCGTAATTGTTCAATATTTCAATTTCAATATGGATTTGAAAAATAAATATATTAAAAATATTTTTGAATATACAGGGTGTTGAGTTTTTGCCTGGCAAATAAAAATGCATGTTTTTTAAATAGAACACCCTGTATTTTATTTTTAGAATGGTTTGCTAGAATGATTTTAAAAAATATTACATTTTTGCCAAGCAATTAATTTTTTTTTTTTAAATTAGAGAATGTTGTAAACCCCAAAATAAATTATCATAATTTAGGTAGGTTTACATTAATTTAAAAATTGTTTAATATACAGACTTATAAGGTATTAAGCTAACAAATAGTGGTGATATAACTGGTTTATTTCATGCAGAGTGTTTTGAAATATATATGGATAATTTTAAATTCTATTTTGTTCCTTTTTTTAAATGCAACACCCTGTATATTATCTTAGAATAAAATTCCTTGTCTGACTTTTGCACTAAAATGTTGAATAAAAAGGTACAAACTTGAAAAAATCAATATTAATTTCTTTAACAAAATAATATTCGAGTACAGAACTACATAAAAGAAAAGTGATTCGTAAACTGCGTCTTCTAAAGGTCCATGTCAAGCTTCTACCGCCTCTACTGGTAATTGTGGTTCTGATTCTTCTCCTACTTCCCCGAATATACTATTTTGTAACCTTGGTATGCTTCAGATACATATTTCTTAACTAATAGCTTTAAATCTTTCACATTTTTTAATATATTGATAAAGGATACACCTGGATCATCCTCGTCGTGTAGCCATAAATTAATACCAAAAGCTTAGAGTGGAAAATTTGGTGAAAATTGGAAATGAAACAGCGCTACGTTCAATGAAGTTAGAACTGCTTTAATATTTAAATATGTTGATAGAAAAATTCATTTTATTTTTTGGCTGGTTAACCGCAGCTGTAAAAGTGAGTTTAAAATGCTCGGTGAAGTCCATGATTGTCACATGGCCCGAAATTTTTTGCTAGTTTTTTTTACTAGTTAATAGTTAGAGGAAGAGTAAATCCTCTCGAATCTCTCTACAGCGGAGCGCGCCATTGTTTACGGTCATGTCCTCACATCCACTACTATTAACGTTGGTGGAAAAATCGAATAAGTCCTGGATATGACTTGTTTTTGCCCCAAAGAGTAGGGTCACCTAAGTCCTTTGAGGATTTCAAACCAATATCTGATTTTTGCACCACTCGATCGGGGATGCTTTAAATTATATTCTCAATGAAAAATGTCACCCAAAGGTGGACTTGGCCGGTTTTTGTATCAATCGCACTTTGAAATAATTATAGTTGGTGTACACACAACGCTCTTAAAAGGCAAACAGGATAATTCTGGTTTATTTTCCAAGAACTTAATTATTATTATTTATTTTTTTAAATATAATGTCCTTTCTGGAAGACATTTTTTTTAAGTAGGCTAAATGCAAAATATTTCCAAATCTAGGATCTAGGTATTAATTTTTATCCCGAATATTTTAAAGAGTCCGTCCCTAGGATTTGTAAACCCCCAATATTTTCGTGATGAGCCGCCACTGGTTGAGGATATTTAGAATAATAATATGGTTCGTATATCAGCTTTAACATAAACAAAATTTTTTATTTTTATGTACTTATTATCGGGAGGAGAGGGGGCAGGATTTAAGATTTGAAACCATGGCAACACGTTGTCTTGTTACGCCACTGACACAAATAAAAAACTTTTTTTTTGCTAATTATAATATCTGAGAATGTTCTGTACTCATTTCATAACACTTTTGGATAACAAAACATTATGTTTCATCATTAATGTACCTTTTTTGTAAACATTATTAACAATATTAACAAAAAAAGTACAGCTTGTTTAAATTGTGTGTTGATAAAATTCATATCAAACTAATTTTTAGCAAACAGCGTTTTCAAATATCTATAATGACTCATTTGTCGGTGTTGGTAGATAGATGGAGTACATTTTTTTTTTGTGATAAAAGCAAGTAAAATTTGGAATAGTTACTCAATTATAAAAATTCAACAATATTCATTACTTAATTTATTTTTTAATTAATAAAGCATTGGTTCACAGTAGGTACGTTTTTTTAGTATATCGTATAAGCAGAATCGTAGAAAAAGTATAGGACTTTATTTGTTCTAATTAATTTTTTGCAGCTCAGGAACTTTACCAATCTCTCCTGTCATTGGCTTGGTGGTAAATTGCTCTCTAACCAATTTAAAAAATAAATTTCTGGACATTTTCGGAATACCTATACAAAAATTTGAAGTTTTCATATTGAACCCATGTTTATAATACTGGTTTCAGAGAAACTTTGTTTACGAAGGTAGCATTCACTAAATGAATTCTTTAAACAAATTAGTCCCTAAGCAATATTAAAAAGAGTATTTTTTAAATAATGCCATAGGTTGCGATAGGTACATTATGTACCAAACCTTCATTAATTTTTCAAAAATTACATTTCTAGCTTTCTAAAGTCAATCTCTAGAGTATGATCGCATCAGCAAAGAATTACAAAAGAGTAATGGTCCTAAAACCATTCCTTGTGGTACATTGAATCAATTACTCCATTACAATTTTCTCCATTTTTTAAAACTTTTTTTCATGTTTCCGATCATTTTGAGTTCGAAAATACAAAAAAACTTTTCGTCTGGTCGTCTGTGTATATGTATGCCGGCACGATAATTCTAGAATGGAAGTTCTGATTGACTTGCCGTTTTGATTTTCTTGAATAATTACTTCTAACTTAGAACCCTACTGATTTTCAGAATTTTCGGTCCATCCTAACTACTTTAATATCAATTTTCCTAAAATCCGCATATGCCTTTCTTATGTGACAATTTTAGGAATTCCTCTCATTTCTAACGTCTATAATTTCTAACATTCTTAACATTTCATAAATTGCAAACATTCTCTAACGACCTGTCAAACAACAGCTGTGGATAGTAAAGCTGAGATTTCTAAGTCAGTTTGCGACCTTCATACTTGCAACCATAACCATTTTGCAGGCTATTTTTATTCGAAATTAGTCGCTAAGTCTGCCAATTTATGAAAAATATATAAACAGTTTCTTAAAAATTACTTTTTTATGGTAGTGCTAACTTAAGCGTACTACTATTTCGCCCCTAGCCACAAAACACCATCAAATTTACTGGCTCTCTGTCGCAACCCCATAGAATAATTAACCGGCCATTTTATTTGGCAAAAATCAGACTAATGCTTGGCTATGCCTATCAAGTATCAAGATGTCAACTGTGATGTGTGAATGGCTCTTAAACGTCAAATTATTTAAAAATGTATGCTTCTTTTGATATTTATTGCAAATAATTTGTAGTGTATTTCAATTCAGGCTTTCCATAAATAAAGGTACAGCAAGACAGATAATAGAATGTTCTTTTTCAAAGCACTTTTTTATTATATAAAAGAGAGAAAGGATATAATGCTGGTTTTTTGTAGATAATTTTAATTATACGATTTTGGATTACATTAAGGGGTCAAATTGCAATATCATATAGTCCACATTATACCATATCGCAAAAAAGATTCAACCAGCGAATTGTAAATAATAATTAGTAAACTCCTAGTCATAAATTTCCTTAATTCATAAAATTTAAAATCTTCTTACCTTGGG